TATTAGGGAAGATTCTGCTGCTGATCTCCTCGTTCTACCGCCTTTTGCGACATCCACTAGACGATATGGTATAGTGTACATTCTTACACCGCTTATACACTGTCACGGGTATATTTCTTTAATTCATCTATGGAATTATTTGAACATTTCAAAATTACGCATGTATAATACACTTTTATTCTAAATGCGGGTATAACTCTTGCTCGATCGACAACACGAATATTTTAGTTTTTTTTTTTCAAAGATTTGATAAACGTCTAAATGGTTGGGGTCTGCGGTGTCTTGGGATGTTTTATAAAACATTTACATATATCACATTATGATAAACCCACCGACAGCGCGATGTGGTTTTGAGAAAACAATTTAGGGAGGGTCTATCACACTGTTAAATGATAGTAACCGGATGATGATGATGTTTTTTTTTAAAGTTAATTTAGATACAAATTACATGAATAATATTTTTTGATCTTATTGACATAATAGAAAAAACTGAACTGGTTATTTGAATGAAAATCATGAGTGCAAGTAGTTTAATTAAAATTTTTCTTATTTTTAAAAATTACTAAAAGAAAAGGGCTCGAAATAATAGATTTTCTCACAAAAGAAGGGAATTTGAAAAAAAAAAGGAAAAAAAAGCCGGACCCAAGACGGGACGCGAACCACGGAACTCCGATATTACGCCTGAGGCTATTACGATCGTTAGTAGTCTGTCGAAATTTACCTTCTTATATTGTAGCAGTTTTTTTATTGCCTGAAAACACGGACAAAAGGACATTTTCTAAAAATAAATCCTAGATAGATCGATTTATTGCCACCGAAACTCCCTGGACACTAAATTTTATGAAAATCGTTGGAGCCATTTCCGAGATTACATTACATTAGCTCGTTTAAAGGTATAGGATATAACTATTTTTACTTTTTTGTAATTTATTCATCCATTTACAATACAACATTTTTTGGTGATGCGATAAGGGTTACAAACGAGCACACAGTTCACCTGATGGTAAGTGGTTACTGTCGTCCATAAATGTCTACATCTATCTTCGATTATGAATCAATATGCAGATGCGTTGTCACCCGTGAGGACTTAGATGGAATGCCTCGTTTCCAGTAAAAAGGGTCTCCGGTTCTCTAAGCTGCTATTTTACGCTGGTATTCTGTGAGAGCGTGGTCCTTCCCCGGTCGAGCCGACCCATTCGTGCTACAACTATACTACTAATATAGCAGCAGCATGCCCCTACCACGTAAAGACAATATGTACATGTTAACTTTATTGCGGCGGCGTTTGCCATTAAATGAGAAGAAGCTTGTGCGGTTTACTTTTAAACTTCGCATTGCCTTAGACCACCCATACCACTACAAAACGGTAAAATAATTTAACTTTTAGAGTAGAAGCAGGCTTCAAAATTTAATGATAATTAAATAATTTCCACTTAATAGCTTCTGAAGTCAGGGTTGAATTCAACGATACACAGCCTTGGCAGCGACTTCAAAACATATATTTTTTTAAAAACCTTACCGGCCCCTCACTAGGATTTTCTCCTGTATCGTGGAGGCAGTTAACAAACACAAATTGCACAAGGACAAACATCCAGACCGGGAACAGTTATTTGTAGGACATACAAATACTTGTTCCATGCGGGATTCGAATCCGCGGCCCTCAGCGCTGTAACCACATTGCTAAGTTACTGCGCCATGGAGCCTTATTTTTTATTTTTAGTTATTTGGTCAGGTGTCTTTTTAATAACAGTTTAATTACATTGATTTATTTTTTTACTTCCCTTTGTAAATAAAATAGAAAAGGCATCACACCGACCTGAAACATTTACTAGCGCATACAAATACGCGTTATGTGAGCGAGTAGAATCTGCAATTGGTGGCAAAATATTAAGATACTGCACTAGGAGCCATATTATGAATAATAAAATTCCCTAGTGCATACATAAGTGAGCTAAAAATTCACAATTACATGACACTGGCAAAATGCTAATCGTACAAGTTTATAACCAAAGAAAAAATATACTGTCTCAGATAGCAGTACAGCGTGACTTTTTCCTTTATTAGTCGATATAAAACACACATTTTTTTGATTAAGTGACCGACTAGCCCTTATACATTTATCCACGATTAAGAATAAAATTGCAAGTACATTATAACCTCTAAGAACTAAGTTGGAAGGCCTCCTTACCAGTAAAATGATCTCCGGTTCTCTACACTCACCATACGAAACAGCAGTAATGTTTAGACTTAATTGAGTCGTTCGTGTGTTCACATCCTTAGCCCAGTGACTCACTGTGCGATGCGTGCCGTGGAGGCATATAGGACATTTAAAAAACCTCTGCCAAACGGCTATTTTTAATCTCGTCGTACATATAGAACGTGTGAAGAATAATTCGGACCAGGATCTTTATAAAGGACAACGTGACAACAAGGTCACTGGTTAACACAGAAATTTAAAAAAAAAAACCGACCGCGTTGACAAGTAATTTAAAAAAGATCTTCTACGTCTAAGACGAATTGTACAGTGTCTATTAGCCTAGAATCTCGCGCTAGGCGTTAGTAAAGCACTAAAGTGAAAAGTTAAAGTAACGGCCTGTATACGTCCCACTGCTGGGCATAGGCCTCCTCTCGTTTTTAAGAGGGTTTTAGGGCAAGAAAGTGCCCACCGCGCTGGCCCACTGCGTGTGGGCGAACACATGTCTTCGAAACATTTTTTTGACTTGCAGGTTTCCTCATGATGTTGTGCTTCACCGTGGAGCACGTGGTAAATAATTTCATTGGTGCCCGCGGAGATCGAACCCGGGTTGCTTGCTTAATGTGACTATATACAGCCAACCCATCCAACCACCTGAGCTGTAACGGCTCAATATTATTTATTTACCCTTAAATATTAAAGTGTTTTAAACGCGAGAGTCAAGTGCGCCATAAATTCAAAAAAGTCTAAAAGTATTTTTATTTATTGTTCCAAAACTGTCGCGTGATTCGCCGACACTAATTATAAAAACGTTCAAGTAATAGAGAACTAAATATACTTCTAATTAGTGTGTCGATGGTAAATTAAAGACTTAATTTAAATTATTCGCGGTTGTCTCAAGTGCGCCAGACATAATAGATTTTTTGTACGTTTCAAAAAGCTTCCGAGAAATATTTATATATTCATAACGTGACAATTTGAATAAGTTTTTTGGCGGGAACTTGACCGTTGGTGGACTACTGGTACTGTATTATCTTATTATTACTTTATTTAATTTTTTTAAAACGTTACTTCAGTACTTTATTATTGAGCGTGATAGAGCTAAACTATAGCTATGGTTGTAACATGAATCGGCTCGACCGGGGTACGACCACGCTCTCACAGAATACCAGCGTAAAATAGCAGCTTAACGCTGCTGTGTATCGTATGGTGAGTGTAGAGAACCGGAGACCCTCTTTTCTGGAAACTCAGTCTGCCGGAGTGGTAACTGATAACGCTTCTGCTCATTTATCCTACTAGATGTGTATGGGCCACAGCATCCACTAACCATCAGGTGTAAATGTGTGCTTGTTTGTAACTCTAATTCTATAAAAAATATGATTTTCTCCGTGGGAGTAGTTTACATACATAAATTTCACAAGGACAAACATCCAGACCCGAAACATACAAATATTTGTTCCGTATAAATAATTAATTGTTCCGTGCGGGATTCGAACTCGACACATTTAGCGTTGCAACTCATTGCTAAGTCACTGCGCCACAGAGCTATTATCATAAAATAATGGTTGGAAGTGGATTTTGATAAGTAAAACTGGTGCGATTTTATGTACTGAATACCAGCGCATGTGAATTATTAGGATAAAAAAATGATAGGTACAAGTGCTCCGATGGCGATATAAACCTCATGATATTTTATCCGCTTAAGCGCTTTGAGAATTTTGCATACTATTGGCTTTGGCTGTAGTAAATCTCCCGGAAACCTCGCAATGTCACGCACTAACACAATGTAATTGCAAAGAAATTTGTTAACATATCAATTTTTTATGTATTCATCGCTTGAGGAATTCTATTTGGCTGAAGGCCTTATGGCCAATGCCAAAATATAAAAAGGTATTTATCGCTTGATGAATTCTATTTGGCAGAAGGCCTTATAGCCAATGCCAAAATATAAAAAAAAAAAACTATTTAAAATATATATTTTTAATAAAGATACCTTGGAGTTTTTTGAGTATTTTTTAATGTTGAGTATTAAACGTTTGCGCATATTTGCGCATGTGAACTAGTGGAAACGAAGAAATAGGTGCTACACGCCTTTGATGTGAACCTCAAGACAATGCGTATGCGTAAACACCTTGAGATACTATCGCCATCAACTGTCTGCTGGTTCAAGCTGCCGTCAATATCTCACAAAAACTTTACAATGCGACACATAAACATATTGCGAACAAGTCTGCGCCCCCTTTTCCCAATGGGGGTCGCTTCCGATACGGCTGAAAGACCTTACCAGGTCAAAGCCAGGTGGTGTTTAGTGGGTAGGCACTGAGGTTTCCTAGTGAGTCACACATAACCACGCAGCCGGCTGCGTGGTATGCTCAGAGCATTCACCACCTCCCTTCCCCGCTACCCGAAGGGCCCTTTACTTTGCTGCCGGGCGCAAAAATAAAATTGTGAAGAAGTTTATAAACAAATTTTTATGCAGGACAATTTCATATTATACTTGACACCGGCAAAAGTACACCACGATTCCATTATCAATGAAAAAATGAACTGTTATATATATACATATAAATTATAAAGTTGTAAATGATTAATTCGCTTATTTCCGCGTAATGAAATAAAATGATGTGTTTGACCTAGTTTGAAGAGCACCTCCCGCCCTCCCTCAATTGCTTGCACTATCCTCGTCACCACTAATTCGAGTACCACAACTCCCGACACTACCTCTACACTAGAAAAGGCACACCACCGTCGATAATATGACATATGTACTTCAGTAGACTCTATGGCGACTGACAGATAAGATTAATTATCTTAAAAACAAAACGAACCTGTCAACAGGTGGCGGCAGCGGCGCCATCATGTGCGGGTGCGGCGGCATCGGCGGGTGCGGCGCGTGCGGGTGGAACGGCGAGCCGGGCGGCGCGAAGCCCGGCCCCGGGAATGGCCCACTGCTGCGGGCACGGCGAGCCGCGGCGCGAAGCCGGGCCCGGAAGTGGCCCTGCTGCGGGCCCGCGAAGCCGCCGCCGGAGCCGGGCCGCGCCGACGGGCTGCCGAAGGGGCCTGCGTACGGCGGGCCCGCGAACCCGGGCCCCGGGCCCGGCGTGGAGGGCGCCGGCGACGCGGCGAACGCTGGGCCCGCGGGCGAGCCTGCGGGCGCGGCGAACGTGCCGAACGGCGCGTCGCCGCCGCCCTTCCAGCCGGCGCCCACGCCGCCCGCCTCGTCCAGCGCCGGCACGCGCCGCTGCAGGCCCACCGACATCTGTCACGTAATACCACCTTCAGTGGGAACAATGGCACGGTTGGACGGTTCACATTACACCAATATAAATGTAATAATGTTATAGGTAATAGGTGTGGGCGACAAACGAGCACGCAGTCCACCCGACAGTAAATAGATGCTGTGGCCCATACACATCTACATCTATCCTCAGTTACGAATCAAAACGCAGATGCGTTGTCACCCGTGAGGACTAAGATAGAATGCCTGGTTTCCAGTAAAAAGGGTCTCCGGTTCTCTACACTCATCATATAGAACATAGCAGCATTAAGAAGCTATTTTACGCAGGTATTGTGTGAGGGCGTGGTTTTTACCCGGTCCATACAAATTATAATTTCATTGCGACTTTTTCTAAATATAATAAGGGTGACAAACGGGCACAATCCACCTAATGGTAAATAAATGGTGTGGCCCATATACATCTATATCTATACTCGATTAAGTATCGTAACGCAGATGCGTTATCACCTATAAGGACTAAGATGTAATGCCTCGTTTCCAGTAAAAAGAGTCTCCGGTTCTCTACATTCACCATACGAAACACAGCAGCATTCAGCTGTCATTTTGAGCTGGTATTCTGTGAGACCTTGGCACCTCCATGGTCGAGCCGAGGCCGAGTCCTTCGTGGTGCGGCTATAAAATAGCTAGAGCGTGATTCTATCACGTAGACCACATCAAGTGTTGCAGTGTTTTTTAGAGAATTGGACGATACGCAAAGAGCCGATGTTAGACTATTCGCCATAAGAAACAATGACTCCATTTTTTATTTTATAGTAAAAGGGTGCACAAACGAGCACACAGTTCAGCTGATGGTAAGTGGATGATGTGGAAAATAGACACCTTTATCTGTCTTCGATTACAAATAAAAATGCAGATGCGTTATCACCTCTGAAGACTACGATAGAATGCCTGGTTTCCAGTAAAAAGGTTCTCCGGTACTTTACACTCACCGATTCAAAACATAGCAGCATTAAGCTGCTATTTTACGCTGGTATTCTGTGAGGGCGTGGTTTTTACCCGGTCAAACCGACCAATTTTACGCTATTTCAAAACAAATATTAGTTTCATTGCGACAGTCCATAAAGATTTTTGGTTGCCATGAGAGTCTACTAACACAATAGATAAAAAATCTATACAAGTTGAATACCTACTAAATAATCCGCGGTTGCTAAGAAAAATAGTATTTCACTCGCCTTGTGCAATAGTGTACATAGGTTTTATAAGTAGTAGCGTACAAGTCGAGACGGCTACAAGTTGATATAACCTTTATAGCCACTGAGCAGAGATTAAAATCGGGCCATAGAGATCTTTAACGACTTGACTTCCTGCGTCGACAGGTGTATTACGTTTGTCTCCGCGCGGTTACCTCTTGGTTATTGACCTCTCTTCGTAAGTGAATTCGATTCCCGGACCGCGAACACGATACTGTAGTTTTTTTTTCACTTCATGTGAATTATGTTTTGTGTTTTCGGCCTGTAGGTACATTACATTCACAGGTACGTTATATAACATGAAAGATATTAAGACAAATAAGCTCATCAATTCATTAATTCATAAAATTAATTGCTTGGCATTTGACTCGCCCACTGTTGGGAACAGAAACTAAAATACAACGGCGAACAGCAAACGAACTAGCATCTTCTGCAACTACTCATAATTATCTCAACCATGGACTTCACTAACTTTAAGTATTGAAAGTCACAGATGCGTGTGCGTGGTCATCCCTGAGGACTAAGACGGAATGCATCATAGCCTATAAACACTATATGTATATGGATTTAAAGTAATTTTAAGGTTTTTAACGCGTTTAATTTAATTTTTTAAGACGGTTTTGCAGTCTGTGATCAGCTTCAGAACCGTTAACCTACAACTTCAGTTTTTATGTACCAGAAATGATCCTTGGCGGTCCTCCACTGTAGGATTTACTAGGAGTTTTCTTCCTCATACTCTGTGGAATAGTTTACCACTGGCGATTTTTCCGGACTGATACGACTTAGGGGTCTTCAAGAAAAGCGCCTACTCCTTTTTAAAAGGCCGGCAACGCACCTGCAATCCCCCTGGTGTTGCGGTTGTTCATGGGCGACGGTAGTCACTTACCATCAAGTGAACCGCATGCTCTTTTGCCCGCTCATCTATAAAAAAATCTTCGCAAAAGAAAAACTAACAAAATTCTAACAAAGATGATTCGCCAGTTATAAAATTAAAAAAAATCCATTACTAAACAGCTAATTTGGTTAACTAATATAGGAGGATTTCTTTTCTGTCTAGAAGTCCATCGGGGTAGGTACAAACCACCCTATTACCTAATTTTGCTATGTTCCGGTCTGAAGAGTTTACAGAGCCTTGAATAAAACTATATATACGAATTTTATTGTGTTTAATTAACTTATTTTAATCTCTTTTTATAATTCCCGACGTTTCGGGTGTTTTACAGCCACCCATGGTCACGGAGGGGACTGAGATGTTTGACGTCCCAATGTAATATTTAGAGACCGGCTATTTTTAGTTTTTGAATATTAATTTTTGGTCCGATCTACGTAGAACAAGCTTGAGCTTTAATATTAAAAAAAACCCATGACCATGGGTGCTGTACTGCACCCGACACGTCAGGAATAAAAAAAAGTTAAAATAAATTAATTTAAACGAGATAAAATCCGTATATACTATATATAGTTTTATTTAATTTAAGAAATCATTATGTAGAGAGTCTGTTTATTTGCAAGCTATAACCATTCCATCTTAATCCTCAGAGTTAAGAACGCATCTGTTGCCTTCTTCGTATGAAGTTGGCTGCAGGTGTCCTTCGACTGTAGCAGCTTTCAGAGTTAGCACTTCACTTCACGTATACCACTACAAGACTTCAAGACACTCTTAGCCTTTCTGAGCAGATCAGACCAAAAATTTATATTCAAAAGCTCAAGTTAGCCCAAGTTTATGACATTTGGGTGTCCAACACCTCAATCACATGGGAGCTACTTGTAGCTCTCGAAACGTCGGGAGTCCATACGGAGTACTATGTAGAACAACCCATTAAAATAACAACCTTCGTAATCATTAAGAATAATAACAAAAATAAAGAACTTGTAATATTCCTCATCATTCATCATCATTACAGCCCTTCACAAGTCCCCTGCTAAACATGGGCCTCCCCAAAGGAAAGCCACAAAGCACGGTCCTGAGCCACCTGCATCCATCGACTTCCCGCATGTCTTATTAGGTCGTCACTCCATCTAGTGGGGGGTCGCCCTACACTACGCCTACCGGTACGGGGCTGCCACTCGAGAACCTTTTTTCCCCATCGGTTGTCCGTTCTTCGAGCTATATGGCCGGCCCATTGCCACTTCAGCTTACTAATCCGTCCGTCCGTCCGCAGTCCGTTCAAAATTGTAAAATTTAAACGTTTTAAAAAGTAAAGTTCGTAGTGGTTTACGTGTGTGGTAAAGCCACGCTGCAGCTATATTATGGCTGTAGCACAAATGGGTCGGCTCGACCGGGGAAGGACCACGCTCTCACAGAATACCAGCGTAAAATAGCAGGTTAATGGTGTTTTGTTTCGTATGGTGAGTATAGAGAACCGGAGACCCTTTTTACTGGAAAAAGGAAAGGGGTGACAACGTATCTGCATTTTATTTTTTAATTGAGGATAAATGTAGATGCCAGGTAAACTGTGCTCGTTTGTCATCCTGATCCTATAAAATATAACTTTTTTATCCTCGGTAAGAAATGGATTATAACATGGTTTGGTTTTTGTACGATAAAAGAAATTAAAATGGCTGACCCAATTGATTGTATTGACAAAGGATGCACCTGCAAAAGTTCAGGGGCTGACTTCCAACACGCGATCCATCGGCACGCGAGCCTCATACGCCGTCGAAGAGTTGAAACGCCTACGGCAAGGACAGGCTATGTTTGTTCTTCTTGTGATTTTAATGATATTTATTGCTGTTATTTTATGGGCGTCTAATATTACTGTTACATCAACTTAAAAGAGGAAGGTCGTTTGTCTACTTGACGAAACAAAGATGCGCAGGAGTCCATAGAAACCGATGCTTGTGGTGTACTTGTGATAGATAAAGATCATGATGATGACAATGAAAGAAGAAACCTTCAAGTTTAAATTTAAGGAATTAATCAAGATTTAAATGCAAATATGCGTAAAATATTTATAATAAAGTTATTGCAACAAGATTCGTGAATTGATTTGACTCGCTTTATTTGAGAGATAGCTATAATTGTTTATATGATTGTTTGTATGATTGAAGACACGCACTGCCCAGCAAATGTAAACATTTTAACTGTGCTCGTTTGAGTGCAATGGCTGAGTATTTTTGACATATACAAAATATTCCACGTTATATCACATAGAATACTATAATACATACATAATAGAATGGGGGAGTGGGCGGAGCCCGCGTAGCCACTAAAATGTCACTAACACGTCAATTCACACGTATAACTGTCAACACGAGATGTGTTTTGACGTTACAATCGTTTCCAAATTTCGCATGTAAATTATTTAGAAAATGCCAAATTGCACGCTATTTACAAATAAATATGTATTAAAATCTGTCTGTCAAAACATCGAATCGGGTTGGTAGGTTGACAGCCATTCTATTGTGTATTATTGTTGGCGACGCGCCTATAAGAATATTTCAATTTATTAGTTAACCGATTACGAATGGCTTCTAAAAGGCAAATTATCAAGCAACAATATTTCGATAAGAAAATACTTAGTTGAATCTTAAAGAAATATCGAATTAATGATATGAAGGTCTTGGGTTCGACTCCCAGGCTGGAATAGTTTGTCGTTTTCTTAGTAATATCTCTTAATAAATTCATAAAGGGAATTTTTAAGATATAAATTATGTTACCGGATTTGTTCCCCGGTTGAAATCATCTTTCCAATAATGTTAATTTAAAGAAATATTAAAATAAAGTTAGAAACCAGGATTTGTTCTCCGGTCGAGATGATCGCTGTGCAT